AAAACACAAAATTTTAGTCTAAGTAGCTTAAATCTCGTAATGTTATACATTTATATATATTTATTATTGTTATTATATTGACCTTTCACCTGTGCCTGGCTAACAATACAGAAGTTACAATGACACTGGCACACGTGCACTCATGTTACCATATCAAATAACATAAAACTGAACTTTGGTCTCTACAAGGTGACCTGTCTTGGCTGTGTTTTAGACCAATATTTTGTAAAATACAGTCACATTTCAATTATTGTACATTATATATGTATATAGATTATTGCTATTTTAAAATAAGTTCTGAAACTTATTTTTCTTAAAAGTAGAGCAGTAAAGAAGGAAGTAAAGCAAACAATTATCTCTTCTAGTTACAAGCTTTGTACTCGTTTGTTGCTTGATGTAGGTTGCTAAGTCTTATGAAATTTCCCACATGGAGGATGTAAAAGAAGTTTTTTTAGGTTTTTATATACATTTTAATTAACCAAAAAAATCATAAATTACTAGACCAATACAATAGAATTCTACTATAATTTATCAAGCGTAGTAACTAAGCTGTATTTGGTTCTAAAAAATATGAAATTTCAAGCTCACTAAAGACTTACCTTATCGTTTGAAATCTTGTGAAAACAATGAAATTAGCACAATAACACATCAAAATGGCTGAGAAAACCACTAGGGGGAACATTTTGAGCTTTTAATTGGTTATTCATGTCATATAAGGGACCATTTCCAAAAATGGAAAGAGGTGGGTGACGGGGCCACTGCGTTTGATTCAATGCAGGGGCAATTTCTTAGGAAATAGAAAAGATGTTTTTATTTTATATTCTACCTTGTCAATATCGGTAGTTTGAGGTCCTGATTCGTACAAAACCATATAGTTTGTATTTTGACATCACCAACATCTTGTTTGAACCAGTGCTGCATTCAACATACCATGTGACACACCAAAATCGATGTTTAGCTGCGTTTTTTAATATTTACTTTTAAATTAAGAAATTAACTAATGTATAATTCTAAAATGTAGATTATAATCTATAATTTGATACTAAACTTATTGACATAGATTCATAAAATAGTAATTCAATAAAATTTTGAATGCAAGTCAACAAACACAATGACATGGCCTTTGACACATGACTCGTCGAAATAGGGTGAAGGAAGAGACAAGTGTACCAGATTGATTAATGTAGTGTTCCAAATAGATCTGTAATCAAAATATTTAATTCTGTAATGTAGTTTATGGATGTCATTGTGTCATTCTATAATATTAGAACAGACATTTTGACTGTTGTTTATGCTTTTTTATTTTTGTTAGTTAGCTTTAAAGGTCTTATATTCACAATATTATATGTATGTGATTTTTGCATGCTCTGAAGGTCTATTTTCATATATATTTCAGTTACTTGTTTTTAGAAATAACTCCAGAAATTCTCAATGTACAGTTGATAACTGTCACCAGTAAAATTCTTTATTCTTTTACATCTCCTGCATAAAATTCTTCACTGGAAATTTCATGTGTTGATATGTGTTACAGTTTAATTCATTTTTAAGTGTAAGTGAATGTACAGTATCATAAATTTAGAATCTTCAAAGAATATTAATTTTAATTGACTAAGAGACTACTTTTTCCAGTTGGTTTTCAATTTTTGAACTTGTATTTGGTATTTTTATAGGATGTTGTACTTATGGCTGAAGCATTGGAAAAGCTTTTTCTGACAAAATTAGCAGAAATGCCCCAAGAGGTAAGCACAAGTTTATACAAAAATAGTGTAAACTTTAAATTGCAAATGAGTCGTAGCAATGTTTGTATCATGATAGGAATTATTTATCAGTTAGAATTTAACCCTTATCACTTATATCCTCCCCTGATTTTATCAGTCCCACAGTGGAAATATTTACCAAAATACTTGAAATTTAGTACAGACTCTCTAAGTAGTATCAAATTTCTGTTTAAAGAAATTAATGTAATTTGATTTATTATTTCTATAAATTTTTATATTGTAAAATTTCCAAAATTTCTCTTTGAGACACGGTGTTGCAAAAATGTTAAAATACTTTCTTCTTTCTTAGAATTATTATTGATCAGAATATTCCAGTTTAAAGATGTATACAGGTTAAACTTTTTTCATATTCATTAGCAAATTTATTAGAATACTTTATTTGCTGATTGAAGCAATCACTGTTTCTTAATATTGACCTCACCTTCAACATGATGTTACTATTATCTTTGTCAGGCTAGTTTATATGATTTTTACAAACAATATTCTTGATTGAAATCATTTTATGTCTAATAAGTATAGTTTGTTTTCAATGAATAATAAGTTATTTATTTGTGTTGTTTTATTGTAATAAACTTAATAATATATTCAATAAAAAAGGATTTATGTTGTATGATAGTTTGATGTTGCCTATGTGCTTACCAAACCTAGCTAAGTTGAACTTTAAACTTGCTTGTTGTCATAACAGCTATAGAAGAATATATTTTTAACTTTCAAACAGAAGTAATATAACACAAGAACGTTATCAGGAAGGAAAGGAATGTCAAAAGAAACTAAAAAAAATATCTCAGATTTGTGGTTTGTTCACTGTCTACTAGAGCTCTGGGTAGTTAATATGGCAACAAACCACAAGTTACTGCTAAAACCATTATTTATTCCATATGTAGGTAGATTAAAGTATCTTATTACCAGTTGTTTTAAACAATTGAATCATAAATATTTTCAAAACTCAGCTTCATTAATAATTGTTCAGATGTATGATGTGAGATCAATAAAACGATGGCACTGCAGGGCTGTAGTAATAAAACCATTGACAGAGAAGCAAAATGACTTGAAAAACAAGGCATGGATCATTATTCCCCGGGGAAGAAAGTTTCTTAGGAAAAATAAACCTATGCTTTGAGATAAGCAGAAAATAAAAACATATTTACAAATATATTGTTGATGAGTGAGAAATCTTCAGATCTGTACAGAAAGGAAAGTTAAACATATTTTTCTTTGTTAAATAAATGTTATATAATGCTGAAATATCAATTCTAAAATATGTTTGAGAAAAAAAATTATTGAAATAGGATCAGAATTATATTTTTTACTTTACTTTTGAAATTTAATGTGGCAAGTATGTACTCAAAACATGTAAGGTGTGCACTATTTTGGGAAGGGTTAGGTAATAAATTGCTTAGCT